TTTTTTTTTTTTGTAGGCTGTTAAATGCATTGATCCTCTAGTAAGGCTGAGAGATCGTTATGGGAAGGACCACAAAGTGAAATGTTAAAAACGATTTCTAAGAATATGCATGATACAAGTTATTTCACTATATACTTTTACTCGTCATGATACAAGTTATGTAACAAGATGTGTGTGGCTAGCTAATACTTGTTCCCGGGTTTCATTTATCTCTTATTTTTGTAGGATCTCAATCATCAAATGCGTGGAGCAGAAAATTGGAAAAGAAAAAGCAATGATAGTAAAAAGAAAAGTTAGTTATATAGTTAAAGGATTTGTTCTTGATAGCTAATGTTTAAATAAGGATTTTTTTTTTTTTTTAATAGCCAACATGTAGCTAGGTTTTCCATTTTTCTGCTTGTCACAGGCACACATTACGGAAATGAAATCTGAAGGATACCAATTTGACGGGAGATGTATTCACCGAATAAGACCTATAGAATGTGAAGTTGATTTTTTACGATGGGCGCGTGGGTCATCACATCTTTCATTTTTGTGTTGAACAAAACTTCCAATATAATTATTTGTGTACTAAACTTCACAACTAATCGATCACCTACTTCTCTCTTTTCAATAAGCATATAACAAATGTCTTGTTGCCACTTATAATTTTTCCCGAGCTCTTGCCATGTCGATTTCCGCAATGGTCGAATGTTTTAGAAGAAAGAAAGCTATAAACCAAGGGTATGCAAGCAATGGCAATGCTATTGTAGAATTTCAGCCATGTGGCTCGTGCCACAATATGTACTACATGGATTAGGAGAGGCTCTTGCCGCTATAGGGCAGACCGAGTTTTTTTACACCGAGTTTCCTACAAGTATGTCTAGTATTGCGGCTTTTCTCTTTGGTCTAGGAATGGGTGTGGTGTGGCTAGTCTATAGGCAAGTGTGGTCCTCAATGCGGTCAATGAACTAACCTCAAGAAATGGTAAAGTGAGTTGGGTTTCAGACAACATCAACAAGGGTCATTACAACTAGGGCCGTCCCTACACTTTAAAGGGCCCAAGACGAGTTTTAAAACTATTTTTTTAAAGATTTTTTTACAAGAAATTATTGAATCTTTAACTAATTTCTATGAAAATATGAATGTACAACTTACTTAGTTAGATTTTAAATGTTTTAAATATAATATTTTTAGAAGTAAAATATATTAAACAACAATATATATATTCTGTTTTTTTTTCTAAAAATCATTATCCATTATTTTTCTTAAATTATCATAGTTATTTTATATTATATTAATAGTTTTATGTAAAAATCTTAACTAACGTAAAACCAACTGCATATTTATTAAAGAAACTAATGATGTGAAATGAAAACATTCAACCTCCAGTACAAAGTAACAAGCATGTGGTTCAAATTAAGCATAAAGATATTTTTTTTTTTAAAACTAAGTATGAAGATATATGATTTTTTTTCAATAGAATTATGAAAATGTACGTAATTAGAGGTCACAATATTTGGTGTTAATTAGGGGGTCTAAGACAAGTGCCTTAATTTTTGTACACTAAGCACGACCCTGATTACAACTATTACTATTGGCTACTTGCAATCATGAGCTTCATCAATGTGATTTATTACGTGATATATAGCTGGTCGTATGGTCCTTTGGTTGATCAGGTGAAGAATGGTAGGGTTAATGGTGTGACAGAAGAAGAGGAGTTGCTTGACATTGTTAGGAATGGCATTGTTGGGAAAGGCTTCGAAAAGGAAGTTTTTAGTGAAGTTGTTAAAAACAATTAAGGAATTAAAGATCTTGCAAGATTGGATTTTGTCTATAAAGGGAGCAAGAAACTATAGGAAAACTATATTTTATTGCATTTGGTGTGTGTGGTACTCTATATAGATTTCCCATGCAAGTGCTATAGACATGAAGCTTTGCTATTTATTGCCAAACGTACATAGAAAATTGTGGACATCATGCAGAGGCACAAACTATGGGATACCAAATCTAAACGAAATTTCATATGCTTTTGTCTAACAGTTTATTTCATAAAAACGTTGCGATTTGACGACGATGTATATAACACTTGCATGGGAAATAGGTGACTAATAATTGGAGCCATTAATGAAGCTCAAAAGATTTTAATGATAAATATAATTAAAATGCTTGGCTCATAGCCACATGTAGAGGCTCTAAGAGTATGAGTAGTGGTGATACAAAGTGGGTATTATTAAATATAAAATTATTAAAATTTGAGTAAAATTAAGTAAATGAATGTTTTTGGTTGAAATAATAGGGTGTATTGAAATATAAAATTAATAAAATTTGAGTAAAGAGAAGAGATAGTTAATATTTTTGGAGAGAGTGTATCAATAAGTTGATACTTTTGATACTCAAAGAGTGTGTTTGAGTGTGTTTTTAATAATTTTATATTTAAAAAGAGTATAAAATTAATAAAAATTGAGTAAAATGATGAAAGAGAATGTATAAAGTTGAGTAAAATAAGAGAGGGTGTGTATTTTAATATTTGTTTATTTAATGATACTCAAAAATATCACCACTACTCATGCTGTTAGCTAGCTTTATCATTGTAACTTAACAAAATCATCTAAAATCTGATTTAGAATCAAATCTTCTCAATTATTTGGGACTTATGTGTTGTGTTTTTCCGAATTTTTAGTAAATTGGTTTTTTTTCTTTTATATTTAGGCTTACTTCCTTTTATATTAGTTCATTCACTTGAGTCTTGAGCCAATCCTAATATATTAGTTCATTCACTTGACTCTTGAGCCAATCCTAATCCAACCACAAAAAAATCGATACTCAAGCACTAAAAGACCAAATAGCATTGCCTTAATCAACACACTAGAGCACAAAAAGAGACGTTGCAACTACGGAAACCAAACCGTAGGAATTTATGCCGTCGTAGAGATAGTGCCCTTAGAGATCGCTTAAGCAACCGACAAAGAAGAATCAATGTCGTCATAGGCAGAAGAGAGGCACCTCCGATCTGATCGTAGAGTGAAGGCAAGATCCGGATTCACCTCCAAACCCATGAACAGGAACGCTTTATTGAGGAGAGATCCCAACCGAGGAGAAGAACAGATATCGTCACTAGACTAAGCCAATGAAAAAATGAAATGGATAGTTTCCCATTGATTGTGGGAATTGTTTGTAGTGTTTTGTTTCTTTTTCTGCAACCATTCGATACGGTGTTACGGATAAACCCCTAACGGTTTTCGCGAAATCAAAGGTATTTACAAAAACAATTATAGCTCGTGAATAACCTAATCCTTCACCAACAACCGATTCACAATCTTTACGATATACTTCCTTCTCCCAAATATTAAACATTTTTTTGTGGTTATTTTGTATTTACTTTGTTTTGGATAAATTTAACCACCGTCTCTGATGGAGAAAGAATAAATAAAAAAAAACTTTACTTAACTAGGTTTCTTTCCCAAACTATATATATTGGTTAAGAGACAACGTATTGTGTATTTTTTTTTTTTGTTGTCAAACCTATTCTATTCCGGTTTCTTATTGAAGAGATCATGGACCCTGTATATATCATCATACTCGTAGCGGTTTTCTGTGTGTTGCTTATCACATACGATAACT